ACTACAATTAAAAAATTTAAAAATTTAAAAAAATAATATAAAAGTTCTAACTAAGCTTGAAGCCCTCAGATGTATTTTCTCTTTGCTTTTTTAGTTTGTTTGTTTTTATTAGGTTAGAGTTCTTTCCAAGTCTAGGAATAACTTATGTGATCCTCAGTGTCACAGTGCACATACAAAAGAAGAATCCAATGAAGACAGGTATATTCTACAAAATTCTCTTGCAGGCCTATCTGTGTAGCTTAGAGTACCTGTCTTTTTAGGATAAGCTTCAGGCTTTTCTCATTTGGACATTTACAAAAATCACAACACACAAGTGACCTGAAGGATATAGAATTCCTATCACAAAATAAATATCACAACCAGTTTGTTCTGTAGCAAACAAAACAAAAATACTCCCCCAATCCCCAAACTCTCAAATGTCATAAAAAGGATAAATTGATACAGAGGAAAGGACAAAAGACACAGTAAGAAAAAAAGAGTAACTGCTTTGATGTGGGCCTCTACCGTGGGTTCTCTGAAATGCCCGACATTAAACTTAATATGCTTCATGCATTTCCACAAAAAAAGGGAACAACAAAAAAGAGGAAATACAGAAGAGAGGGACAAAAAAATAAAGATAATAATAGTTTAACTATAAAATTTTGTTTCATATGAAAAAAACCCTGCCTTATTTCTTTATATTTTTGGACATGATACCAGAAGACATCAAAACTATGTGACAAAGCAAAGCTCATGAACAGGAAAGGCACAGAAACCAGTAGACTCTGAAACCCACCTTGTTAATCCTCCATTTTAGCCAATGGAAAAAAAGGAGAAATTGGCAATCTTCAGGAAATAAAATGCAGCAAGATAAGTAGCAAAGTAAGTGCTCAGGAGGTTGGCTAATATGTAGGTCCCAGTTAGCATGTGTCAGGGATTTCCTGGGACAGAACTGAAAACACATTTACAATTGATAGCAACAAATCAACAGATTCTGTTAAAGGCTAGACTAGTAAGAAAGAAGTCATCCAAAGAACTTCTGATTTCTAATCCAGGCAATACAACTTATGAGTCCAGTGAGTTCATTCCCTAAAATTCCTGTCATAAATTTCCCATGTGTTGCAATCATGAAATTTTTCTCCAACATATTCAACATGGCTGTCAACAGAAAACTCTACACTGTAGTTTACTGGTTGAGGAATTGTCAGATGACTTACTAAATAATGATATAGATCTTAAGGTTGTTTATGCAATTAGTATTCTTCTCCTTGTTTTTGATGTGGTTTCTGTCTTTAACTATGAAGCCCACTGTTTGCAGTAAGACTGTGGAATTACTCTTCATAAGCCATTGAACAGTTTCCAACCACTTCTGCTAAAAATTTCCAGTCTTGATCCAGATGTCAATTACAAACTGTTTTTTTCCTACATATAGATATGATAAAAGGTCCAAACACTCATTTGCTAACACGCAAATGAAGACAGATTAATTTTCATTCCTTTGGATGAAAATACTTTTTGCTCTCCCAAAGAACTACATCATTTGATTTACAAATCTGAAGTGTGAAATAGGAACCTTGAACACCTATTTTTACCATAATAAAGTTCTTCAACAAGTTAAAACCA